TGTGTGTGTGTGTGTGTGTGTGTGTGTGTGTGTGTGTGTGTGTGTCAAAGTGAGCCTCAGGCAAAAGGGGGAAACGAGGACAGTTTGACCCAAGGACAGATGCTGCTGAGAGCTTGGCAAATTGGGTTTGGGAGAAGTGTTTACATCTCTCAGCACTAACCGCGAGATGTGAACAAGGCAGGTATTGTTGTGAGTGATAAGAGAAAAGCTGCACATTCAATGTTTACGAAGGAGAGCATTGAACACCTCCGGCAATGGCAAAAATCCACTCGGGTCAAAAAGTTTGGTAAATTAAAGACAGAATGTTTGGTGCAACAATAMGGCTCCTAGTCAGGCTGACCTTGTGCACAAACTGTTCCACACGTGTTTGCAAGCCCCAGACTTCGAATTTGACTGTAACCAGTTTGTACGAGCACATGATGGGGTCTTGAGTGTCAATCCATCCCTCCTGCAGAACCCCTCGCTCTGTCTTCTTTGACTTGAAGTATCGAAGATCCTGCAATGTCAAAAACCACACGGTAAGAAGGGGTGGAGTTACAGGCATTTTGGTGACTATTGTGTAAATGATTCTAAAACGTTCACACTGTTGAGATCCATTTTTCTTCCGTACGGTTTCTGGCATGYATCTCATTCCTCAGTTTTTCTCTTATTTCAAAATATCACAACAATCTGCTCCTTTACGACATTCCGGTGTCGACTTTTGGTATTTCAGCAATTTTTACTTTTTGAGATGTTTGGCTTTTTCTGCCATTTTCTTCTCATTGGGAATGAATAGAACTGTCTTCAACATCCTTAAAACCTTTGAACATGTTCATAAATTTTTACTTTACTTTTTAACTTTTGTTCTGGTTTAACTCCTTTGTACTAATTTTCTATGGAGCCCGCGAGGGGACATGGGAGATTTTTTTCTTTTGCGTTCCCACGCAATAGTATTGCGTTACCTCGCAATACCTTTTGCGTTCCCTCGCAAAAGTAGTTTATCACAGTTGTGCCTGCCGGTTTATTAACAAACTCACATGTTCACCATTAGTGAGTTAGCCTACTGCTTTAATTCAGCTTCAGAATGAATATATCACACAGCCAAGCATGGAAGTATGTCATATGCCAATATTTTAACACAGTACAGCCACGCAACGTCAATGTCAATTTCACGAACTTGTGGCGACACATCCTGTTTTGGTAACCAGATATTTCAAAATAAAAGTGATTTAATTCATTTCGTATACAAAACAATCTTTTGCGTGGGAACACAAAAAATATTGCATGGGAACGCAAAACAATATTGTGAGGGAACGCAAAACAATATTGCGTGGGAACACAAAACAATATTGCGTGGGAACGCAAAACAATATTGCGTGGGAACACAAAACAATATTGCGTAGGAACACAAAACAATATTGCGTGGGAACGCAAAAGGGAAAAAAATCCCCCCGTGTCCCCTCACGGGCTCCGTAAATTTCAGCTTATTTTGACTTCTATTTTTGCTGGTTTTAGCTATTTTTCTGCCTTTTAACTATCACTCTGACCTTTTCTGATATTTTTCTGCTCATTTTAAACTTTTTTGTGCTTCTTTCAGCTTCTTTTTGCTATTTTATGCTTTCAATGCTTCTTTCAGCTGCTTTCTACTAATTTCAGCTTTTTTCTCTGGTTTTAGCTACCTTTTTTAACCTAATTTAAGCTTTTTAGCTGAATTCCACTTTTTATGATCATTTCAGCTTCTTTTAATTCAGCCAAAATGCTCTTTCTTCTTTGTGCTAATTTCAGCTACTTTTTTAATTTAATATGTTTAGGCTAGTTTCAGCTATTTTAACTATTCATCTTTCAGCATTAAGCATTCACACAGCATTTTCACAGGAGATGCAAATTCCCTACTGCATKCACACTCAGTGATTATTTCCAGAAAATCCATCCAGTAGTTTGAGATATTTTACTAACAATGCAGTTAGATAAAAACATAAGCAGAACCATTAGAAATCATTTACCTTATTAGYATTCAGTGACATTTTCTGTTGTTTATCTGTCTCACATGCTTCCAGGAATCTATCCCACCCTGCCTGCAGGACAGGAACACCTGCCTTCATTACAGGACTCACACAGAGCACAGCCAAGCTGCACAGACAGAGTCCTTCATCGCTAACTTTACGTGCATTAATCACTGCTCCCCGTGGACTAATTATGCTGTGATGCTCATTTGTCTCGGGGTCGTGCGTTCGACTGTGACAGAATGTGTGCGGGTGGGACGCCACACTCTGTCCCCGCAGGGAGGAACCGTTCTAGTAGCGGAGGAAGCCTGCTGCTTTTGTTTTGGCCTAAAATGTGTCGTCAAGTTTACTGAAGAAAGACTGAAGACAAAGAAGCAAAGACAGCAAACCCTAATGGGTTCTTGGTCTATTTTTGACTTTGTAAACTCTTCTGGCCATTAGCTTGTCAGTCTGGACACAATTCCACTTTTTTTCTGATAATTGAGTTTGTTCAAAAATATATTATAACATATTTTTTGTTTACGGTAAATATTTGCCAAAAATCTTGGTCTATCTCTTCGAGCAATACAAGATTAGCTCTACTGTAACAAACAGCTTTAAAATCTTCTGTTTAAGAAGGTAATGTCATGCACATACTGTATKTAAAATATGTATGTTTTTAAAGAAATGTAAAGGATGGGAGGGAGGGACTCAGAGTAGAGCCGCTGCTCCTCCACGTCGAGAGGAGCCAGTTGAGGTGGCTCGGGCATCTGGTAAGGAT